ACCGTGTGGCCTGTATGTTCTTAACATGTACTAACACCTCTACATGGCAAGGCCAACTACACCTTGCTTAACACAGTGTCTAATGTGTTACATGTCCAACAAAATATTTGTAATGGTGATCAGTGGTTGGAAAAACTTTCCTCATCCATCCAAATGGAATGGGATGGAAATAAAGAATGGAGTGTGTGTGTGTGTGTGTGTGTGTGTGTGTGTGTGTTTGTGTGTGTGTGTGTGTGTGTGTGTGTAAATGCAGGCGAGGATATGCCATGGCGTGGGTGTGGAAGTCAGAGACAACTTCAAATGTCAGTCCTCACCTTCCATCTCATTTCAGACAAGGGCTTTGTTTTACTTTTAGCTTTGAATAGAAAATCAGTTGTCCCACAAGCCTCTGGGGACGTCTTCTTGTCTCCACCTCCCATCTCCTTGTAAGAGTGTAGGGATCACAGACATTTGCCCTACATTTCTGGCTTATTCATGAGTTCTGAGAATTGAACTCAAATCCTCAAGTGTGCACAACAAACACATTGACCCACTGAGTCATCTTCCCAGCCTGTCCTTTTCACAGTTTTTAAAGGACAAGACTGAAGAGATGGCTCCAAGTATAGAACCTTACCTTCTATACTGTTTGACAGACAGGGTGTGTTGTTCACTTCTGTGCACTCTGAGCTAGTCAGCATCCAAGCCTGTGGAAACTTTCCTGTCCCTGCTTTCATCTTGCCATAGAATTGCTGGGATTACAGACACATGCTACTAACCACATCCTTCCTTAAAATGTATGCTGGATTTGTTTATCATTTCTAGACGTTTTCTGATAGTCTTTCCCTTTTTAAAATTTTTTTATTAGTAACTTTTTTTAAAAAAATGTTAATCAAAGGCTTTATAAGTTTGGTAATGCTCAGTAACAAGATGCCCATACAATCAGAAGTTTAACCCAATTCCCAACCTAGACATACCAACTATCTTTCATTGGCGGAGACACGCAGACATCCACCTCCATGTTCCGCCCCCCTTTCTCTCTCATCTCCTAGCTCCTCCTCTCCTTCTCCTCCTCCTCCCTTTACTCCTCCTCTTCCTCTCCTTACTCCTGCCACTTTAGCTCCTCTTACATACCACCCTTCCTGTTAAAATAAAATTTTTCTCTCAAAATACAATTAGAGTATAACTATACTCATTCATATCAGTAAGGTTCAAGATAGACCTAATACCCAGTCCATCATTTTGTTGACTAACCAGAACCTCTGTCATCTCTCCTAACTAAAAGACATAGTTCTGAACCTGGCTTTTTTCTTGGCTTTAGAATGAATGTTAGCTGAAAACCATCCTCTCAAATCTTTTCTCTCAAAGTAAATAGCTGGGATTGGCTATGAGACTATAAGTTTTCAACCCTATCAGAAATCCAGAATGACTGAATTAACTGAAATTATGGGAAGCACAAAGCGTAGCTTCTAAAACTTAGCCAATTTATAGAGACCGCTGAACACCTGGACAGTCCCTATACTAAAAAATGTTGGGGCATCCAATCTTCAGCCTTCTGGCCCAGGATCATCTGACAGACCTAGTGATGCAGAATTATTAAGGGCTGATTACTCTGTCTTGGCAGACATAATCAGTTGACTATTCCACAAGTGTGTCCTTTTCAGGACAGTAGTTTGTCTGTAGATGAAAAGAAGCAATTCTTGCCTAGTGGCTGTCTCGCCACAACTAGAGTAACTCCAAAGATGCTCAATTTCTTCTTAGAATCCAAGACAGGAAGCTGTCAGGATCAGCAGGTCTCTAATCAAAAATGAACCTTAATGCAGAAATGTTTGTAACGTCAATTCTGTGGACTTCTGATGTTTTGAAAACCAACTATCCATGTAGGGCAATCTGGACTGTTGTCTGTTAACTCCTCTCAGCTATTTCTAAATAAAATATAGAAAACACCCTAATAATAAACTCAGAGCCATGAATTTGCTATAAGCCCTTAACTCTCAGGCTAACCATCTTGAATCAGTTAAAAGAATTAAAGAAGGACTGGGTCTAAGCCTTGTATTCCTAAATGTGTTAAATAGGCACAATGCCTATGAGAGTAACGGTATTAATCTCACTTTTATATCAATAAGAAACTCGTACCAATGAAAACCTTAAATTTGAAATCAAAGTAAATTTTGTACCATTTAAAGAATTATAACTTCAGCTTAATAACAATTATACAGATTTCTACCAATAGGTTATAATTATACAATAAATCCTAACTATTCCTCCCTGATCGAACAAAACCACTACTTTTCCCTAGAAAGACATCCCAATATTAACCACCTCAGTCCCCAAGCCCAGGGAATAGGGGCACCAACTCTTCATTAACTTCTTCAAGCTGGTTACGGGCGTTGAGATATTAGAAGAGGGGTGGGGGGAAGAGTAAATTGATAAGCCTCTGATGTCTGTGTCTTCACTGCATTCAGCTGAAATTCCAGGACATCAGAGGTTCGAGCAGGTCTGCTCAGCTTGCTTGATGGGTAGATACACCAAGGCTGTGTACTCTGCAATATACAATTCTCAAAACAAATTTTAGTATCAAGATAATTTTTTTTGAATTCTGGAATCTAGTCTTCTGGCAGCCTGTCTCTATCATATCTAACCTATATAATTCTGGGAGTTTCTATGAGGCTGTCCTCCCACCATCCTCCCATTCCCACTTCCCTGCTCTCAAATTCCCCAACACTAGGGAATCCAAACTATCAGGCACCAAGGCCCTCTACTTCCACTGATGCCTGACAAGGCCACCCTCAACTACCTATACAAGTGGAGCCATGAATCCCTCCCTTTGTGTTCTTGGCCTGGAGGTTTTAGAATGGCTACTCCAGCTTGTTTCTTAGGACCATTGCTTGAAAATTTGTTTCCCAGCCTTTTTATTGGGGAATTGAGTCCATTGATGTTAAGAGATATTAAGGAACAGTGATTGTTGCTTCCTGTTACTTTTGTTATTAGAGGTGGAATTATCTTTGTGTGGCTATTTTCTTTGGATTTGTTGGAAGAGGATTACTTTCTTGCTCTTTCTAGGGTATAGTTTCCCTCCTTGTATTGGAGCTTTCCCACTAATATCCTTTGTAATGCTGGATTTGTGGAAAGATATTGTGTAAATTTGGTTTTGTCATGGAATATCTTGGTTTCTCCATCTATGGTAATTGGTATAGTAGCCTGGGCTGGCATTTGTGTTCTCTAAGGGTCTGTATGATATCCGTCCAGGATCTTCTCGCTTTTATAGTATCTGATGAGAAGTCTGATGTAATTCTGATGCTTGTATCTATGACTCCTGATTTTTTTTCCTAGGTTTTCTATCTCCAGGGTAGTCTCCCATTGTGATTTCTTTATTGTTTCTACTTCCATTTTTATGTCCTAGATGGTTTTGTTCAATTCCCTCAACTGTTTGGTTGTGTTCTCTTGTAATTCTTTAAGGGATTTTTGTGTTTCTTCTTTAAGGGCTTCTACCTGTTTACCTGTGTTCTCCTCAAATTCTTTGAGAGTGTTATTTATGTCCTTCTTAAAGTCCTCTATCATCATCATTAGAAGTGATTTTAAATCTGAATCTTGCTTTCCTGGTGATATGGGGAATTCAGGACTTTCTAGTGTGGGAGAACTAGGTTCTAATGATGCCAAGTACCCTGGGTTGCTGATGTTTACGTTCTTTCGCTTGCCTTTTGCCATCTGGATCTCCTTAGTGCTATCTGCCCTGTCTCTTACTAGAGCCTGTCTTCCCTATTATCTTGGTTGCTTCAGAACTGTGTGGGGTGGGTGTTACTACTGGGGTTAGAGCTGGGGCCCAAGATCTGCTCAGTGTTCAGGCCCAGACCGGAAGGAACCAGTGCTCCAGGCCAGGAGTGAATTCCTGGGTCCTAGTGGGTCCCAGTTACTCCCTGTTTGGGGCAGGTGTTGCTGTCTCCTTACCTAAGATACTGCCCAGGTTAGGGATCCTGGGAGGCCTGCTTCCTCTGGGTTTTGTGAGATTGGGTGCAGAGCTGCCACCTGGGATCTGCTCAGTGCTTGGGCCCAGACAGGAAGGTCTGATATAGTCTTTCTTATGTATCATATTACATCATCTGTAAATGGGAATACCCTGACTCCTTTTCCTATCTGCATCCCTTGATTTTCTTCACTTGTCTAACTGTTCCAGCTAGTGCTTTGAGCACAGTATTCAGTAGGAATGAGGATAGTGGGCGCCCTGTCTCATTCCTACTTCAATGGAACTGCTTTATGCTTTTCTCCATTTAAGATGATGTTGTATGTGGGTTTCTCTAAATAGCTTTTATTATGTTGAGATATGTCCCCTCTGGTAGCTACACGTAGGTCCCTATATTCTCTGGGACTTTTATCACGCAAGCATGTTGGATTTTGTCAACGACTTTCTCTGCGTCTACTGAGATGACCATACAATTATTTTTGGTCTTTAAGTGAGTCCATTTATGTAGCTTATTACATTTATTGACTTACCTATGTTGAACCATTCCTGAATTATGAGGGTAAATCCAAAACGGTAATGGTGGAAAATCTTTCAGATGTGTTTCCGTTTGCAAGTATTTCACTGAGCATTTTTGAGTTTACGTTCATTGGAGATATCTGTGTCATTTTCTTCTCTTGTTTCTTTTACCTGGTCTTGGTATTAGAGTGATATTAGCTTAATGGGAGGATTTTTGGAGTGCCTCTTCTGTCATCAATATGACCGCCTGAGATTGACAAGATAGTTTTTCTCTAACATACTCAAGAGATGGAGCTTAGAAATTTCACCCACATAACTTCTTGAAAACTGAAAACTCATAAGTAAAATGGTTTCACACAGCAAAGTAACAGGGCAACGACGGCTAGCTGGACCAGACGGGGCGTCTCCATCTCTTGTCTACGCCTATGGATTTAGCATCTCTCCTTTCCTTCTAAGACTAACCCTCTCAATCAAAGCATAGATATTAAAGTTCCCAGGAACTGCTGATTCATCTATTCCATCACAAGTTACTGACAGAAAATCCAACTTAATGAAACAATTCAAATTTTTATTGAGTATTATTCACACATGGGCATTCTGTTTTCAAAGCAAAATTAAATTAAAAAAATATATAGATATAAATGTGTAAATTCTAAAGTACCGTACAATTTATCATTATCATCATCATCATCATCATCCATGTACGAAAATGGTCCATTGGTTATTTAGTGAAGATTCATCAAGCATTACCACAGAGCAAACATTTTTACTAAGTAGTAAAGATCCTAAGGCCCTAAGGATAGGGCTTTGATCGGAGGAGGGCTGGAGCACAAAAGGACAAAGTAGAATGAAGCACGCACTGAGGTGACAGTGTGTCAGAGAGCTAGAGAGAGAACCCCAAATACAGCATTGCACCGTGGAGCACGGGAAGTGAGGGAAGATGAGGGCTCCTGAGTGGACACCAGAAGAAGCTGCTTCATTTTAGATCCAGCATCAAGAAAATGCACCCACGTCATTCTTCTGAGGGTGTTCAATGCATTCCACAGTCCTGGGTCCAGGGCCAGTTCAGAAGTGTTCCAATCTTTTCAGACAGTCTTTCTCCACCTCAGCACCACTGATGTGTCGTCTGCCTAGTGCGGCATTGTGGGTATCTGCTTCATACATCCCCAGAATGTGTGCTGGCATCGCTGGTTCCTCCTTACTCAATGCCTCTCCCCCAGCTTCAAGTGAGAACTATTACCTTCAGGTCATGAGACACCAGTACAGATGCTTCCAGAAGGAACGGAATTCATTAGCTAGTACCTAGGCTTATATAGTGCCTAGCAAATACTGAAGCTTCTCTGGAGCCCTTTTGGCATATGTAAGCCTATTCTGGAATTTCATCCAGAAGAGATGCTAGATGAAGCACCCATGTGAGAGGCAACAATACCATTGTATCTTTTTTTTTTTTTTTAACAGTGCTTTGCACAGATTGTGAGATCCTGGGCAAGTCACTCAGATTCTCTGAGCCTCAGTTCTTTAATGGAGACAATAAATTCTGTTCTGTAAGCTCATTGGAAGGATTAAATGAGATACATATAAAACATACAGCCACAGGAGTCTTGACACTCATCTCTTTGGGGGCAATTAAAAATGGGAATCATGCAAGTGGGCATGACTCAGTGGGCAGAGATGCTCGCACATAAGCCTCACAACATGAACTTGTTCCCTGGAACCCATGTAAAGGTAGAAAGAGAAAGCCAACTTTACTGTTGTGTCCCCCCCATCTATCTCTGTTTCTGTCTCTCTGTCTCTCTCTCTCTGCCTCTCTCACAAACACACATACACACACACACACACACACACACACACACACGATAATTTCTTTTTAACAAAATCTTAACAGAAGGCTCTCCCAATTTCATCCACTAAAACGGAGTAGTATAGTTTTGAAGTATACTGCTTTTGTGATCCTGCAAATGTGTAGAACTTACTGTACCAGAGACTGATTATCTAACTCATCGCTCACAAGCAACCAGGCTGCTTAAGAGACCAGAAATGTGCAACTTGCCAAGAACTATACTGATTGGAAAAACGGTCCCATGAACTTGCAGGAGTCAGCTCTGTGCTCCCCCTGGTCCCGGTGCCTCTGGCACGCTGAGGCGGGGTGGAGCCTGAGGAAAGTGTTTTCTGTACTCTGTTTCCTTTAGTTTCTTGTAGATATAGATTACAAGATCTGGAAATGTCTTCTGAAAATAACAAGAAGGGTCTCCAAGAATCTTCTTCATTCTGAAACGAAACACAAATGGGTCAGTCTAATGTCTCATAAGCTCTCCCTCTTTCTTAGAGTAAGCCCTGGCAGCTCGCTGGACTTGAGTCTAGCAGGGACAACAAGGACTTTGGAATCTGATGATAAGATGCTTCCTGACTCTGATAGCTTGAGACCTTTCTGAACGTGTTTGCTCATTCATAAAAACAACACAGGGAGCTGGGAGGACCCTCACAAGGCCCTACCCCTAGATGAGGACATAGGAAAAGTTGGAAGGGAGAAGAAAGGATGGAAATTATGTAAATACAGTAGCTATATACAAAAGTCTAAAAAATATACAAATTCAACAAAATGGTAATAATAGTAAAATAATACCACAACCCCTTATATACAATCTCTAATAATAAATAATAATAAAAAAGAAAACATTCTGAACTGCAAAGTGATGTGCATGTATGTGTGTGTTTGTGAGTATGTGTGTGTATAAGAGTGTGTGTATGTGTGAGTGTGTGTAAGTGTGTAGAGGGATGGGGGTGTGAGTGTGTATATGAGTGTGTGTGAGAGTGTGTGTATAAGTGTGTGTGAGTGTGTGTGAGTGTATAGATGGATGAGGGTGTGAGTGTGTATATGAGTGTGTGTGTATAAGTATGTGTGAGTATAGGGAGAAATGGGGGTGTGTGTATATGAGTGTGTGTGTGAGTGTGTGTATAAGTGTGTGTGAATGTGTGTGTGTGTGTGAGTGTATGGACAGATGAGGGTGTGAGTGTGTATGTATATGAGTGTATGTGTGTGTGTGTAGAGGGATGTGAGTGTGAGTATGCATATGAGTGCGTGTGTATAAGTGTGTATGAGTGTAGGAAGGGATGGGGTGTGAGTGTGTATATGAGTGTGTGTATGTATGTGTTTGCAGCTAATGTTTTTTGACAGCAAAAGATGATTTAACTAATGTGGGGCTATACTCAACTTTTGAAAGCCTACATTTGCTTTACACAATGACCCTAGCTTCTATGCTTATTAACCCAGAAGCGTCTTCTGTCCAATAGAACTCAGCAAAGCTAAAAGGGAGGCATGTCTGTAATTGACACTAAGACCAACAGGGTCTTACCGTGCAGTTCTGGCTGGCCTGGAACTTACTGCATAGACCAGGCTGTCCTCTCAGAGATCTACCTCCCTCTGCCTCCTGACTTGTGGAATTAGACTTGCTTTTCTTTATCAAAGTAAGTTTTCTTCTTTCCATTCTGACAGACTTAGAAGTGGATTTTCTAAGAGTTCTCAGTCCACGTATAACTCACATAGATGAAAGTAACACTTACTTCCTATTTTTTTTCTCATTGATGTGTTCTCCTATATTTCGAATGAACTTCAGTAGATCACCTACAGTATCCTGATAATAGTTTTGGCTGGTTTCATAGAAACAATTCATTTGACACATAACATCTTCGTCGATCTAAAAAACAAAATGTTAGTCCAAGATATGATGACAACATAAAACAAATCCTGATGATATGTTAATATCAGCAGGCCAAATGCAAATTTGAACAAATGCCCTCGACCAAGGAACAAAGCAAACAGACAGAAACAAATGAAAGTACATGATACACAGAGCATGCTATACAACCCTGTGCAGTTGTGCTGCATTTGAATACATTATTGTAATACTAATTTCCCTTTTGTCTGTACTTACCAAGTTTCCAAGAAATTGTGCCTATTAAAAACTTTTGTGGGAGTGTTAATTAGTCTAACCGCTATGAAAATCAATATTGACATTCTTCAAAAATCTAAAACTACACCTACCATAAGAACAGCTACAATCCTGCTGTGCATTTACCCAGAAGACTCTCAGTAGACATATCACAGGGATATTAAAGAACTGCTCACAGTGGCCAGGACATGGGGCCAATCTAGGTGTGTCTCAATAATGAAATGGTTAAAGAAAATGTGGTTTGTGCACATTATGGAATCTTTTCAACCATAAAAAGAACAAAGTTATGTCATTTGCATAAGAATTGACAAAAATGAATATTGTCATAACAAGCAAATTAAATCACATGAGATTTTGCTTAGATACATAAGACCATGTATGTATATTTGACATGAAAATTGAAGTAAAACTGTCTCTAGACAACAGAGACTAAGGAGGTGGCCTATGAGGGAGGGTAGAAGATCACAGGGCAATATGTTCAAGGTATATCACCTGTGTGATGGTTTGAATAGGTTTGGCCTCATAGACTCGTGTATTTGAATGCTTGGCCCATAAAGAGTGGCACTGTTAGCAGATGTGGCCTTATTGGAGGAGGCGTGGCCTTGTTAGAAAAAGTTTATCACTGTGGATGTAAGGCTTTGATGTCTTAAATGCTCAAGCTATGTCCAGTGTTAAATAAACCCAGTCCCCTTCTGCCTGAGGATCAAGATGTAGAACTCTCAGCTCCTTCTATAGCACCATACCTGCCTGCACACTGCTATGCTTCCCACCATGATGATAATGTACTAAGCCTCAAAACTGTAAGCCAGCCACAATGAAATGTTGTCCTTTATAAGAGTTGCCTTGGTCATGGTGTGTCTTCACAGCAATAAGACCCTAACTAAGACAATATACTTGTTTTAAAATGTCTTTACTTTTTAGTTCTTCCATTTCTAAAAATTTAAAGTTTGAGCTAAAGTCTTACAGGAGTAGTTCTGATGCTAAGGTCTTGTTCCCCAATTGGTTCTTGATCTATCAATAAAGAAGCCATGGGCCAATTGCTGAACGGAAGGAATAGGTGGGACTTTGGGGTCCCCACAGGCAAGTGACAGATGCAAGAGAGAGAAAGGGAGTTCGCCATGCTTTGAAGAGAGAAAAGCCAAGCAGCCACATGAGATCTTGGGCAGAGTGGCCATAGGCCACTTCTACATGTGAGCGATTGGAGCTGTTGAGCAGTGATTAAATGTAACTGAGCAACTAAAGTTGAGGGCAGGTGGAGACGTGTCGAGCTAAGAGTGTTGATTAAGGCATGCTTCTCCAGGCAGAAGATAAGTAGTGCCCAGCAATTGTGCCAAAAAGGCAAGTTGAAATTGAACAACTGTGTGTGTCTGTGTTTTTCATCTGCGGATCCAATATTCTCTGGGTGGGGGCTGGTAGCTCAGTTGGTTATTGGAGTTAAGGTAGGGTAGCAAAAGCTACACACAACAAGTCTCATACACATGCATTTAGCAAAGAGTCATGGCACATATGCTCCATACCAAGAACTAGCAAGACAGTGGCTGTCTCTGGCCCCAGTGGAACTTGCAGACTAACAGTAAAGATATCTATATTAAGCCAGCAATTATAAGTGGAGACAAGTGAAGCAGAGGCCTAAGATGAGAAGCTGCTGATCTCAGAGACCTGAAGATCATGGATTCTCCCAGGATGCTTTCACTGTGTCTGTGGGGGCATCCACCATGCACCACACTGCATCATCTCTGCAGATATCTCAGCCCCACAGGGAACATGAGTATTCTGCTTTATAGACCCTGATGCTAGCTTAAACCATAATAAAATCTGAGAAATGTTTGTAAATTTACAATAATGAAAGTTTTATAATAAAGACTAGATTGAGATGATGATTTATTTTATAGAGCTCCCCTAAATTCAAATTTGGCAGAATTTGTCCTAAAGAGGAAATATTTGAAAGGTCATCTTTTCTTCATGACATGTTGTCACAACATAATGTGAGTTCCCAGAGCTGAGGCTACTCACAGACAGCAGAGGTGTCCAGTCTGTCTTAGGCTATGGCCACATGGTGGGAAATCTCCTTGGCTTAGGGTTACTTAGTCAGTTGTTCTTATCACAATAGGACTTTTGGTCAGACTTCAGGGAATGTGTAATGGGCTGGGTCAAGGCCATCCTAAGGCAGAACTCAAATGATAGTGTCTTCGGGGCCCTGAACTCTGAAGGAAGGAACAGAGACTCAAAAGGGTCAAGAGGGCTCATTTGGAGAGAAGAAAATTACCTCACTCACTTCCTGGTAGCAACAGGCTGGTATATAAAATAAGTTAGAAAAGGCAGCATATGCTATTACACATATTCTTCTTCTTAGACCACAGAAGGTAAGTGTTCCTACCTTAGATGTCCACTGATCAAAGCTTCTGGAAGGTTCAAGTGTCTGAGGCTGTAGTAGTGTGAGAAGCTTACTTTTACTCTTTCGTACCTTGATGTCAGATTCATTTCCCACATTCCGAAGTGTTCTATAGCGGCTGAGAATGATAGAATTATCATGCTCATTCTATATTTTCCAAAAAGGAGAAAACTGATATGCTTTGGTTTTTAATAAAATTTCTACATACTGGGAGAGGCCTCTCTGTTACTTTCCACTTATTCTTCAGTAGTTAAAACTAGAAACCCAGGAGCTGGAGCAATGGTTCAGTGGTTAAGAGCACTGACTGCTCTTCCAGAAGTCCTGAGTTCAATTCCCAGCAACTATATGGTGGCTCAGAACCATCTGTAATGGGGTCTGATGCCCTCTTCTGGTGTATCTGAAGACAGCTACAGTGTGCTCATATACATAAAATCAATCAATCAATCAATCAATCAATCAATCAATATTTTAAAAAACAACACAGAAATCCACAGGTTATCACCCCTCCCAAGGACACACCTTCAAAAATGCTGAGGTGAGAGAAAAGCCTGGGCCTGCTGATTCCCAACCCTGACAGTAGCCCACATCACGTCTCCCTCTCCATAGAAAAGCCTGTAACACAGTGGTTCTCAACCTGTGGGCTGTGAACCCTCTGGAGTCAAAAGACCCTTTCACAGGAATCGAATATCCGATATCCTGCATATCAGATATTTACATTGCAATTCATAACAGCAGCAAATCTATAGTTATGAAGTATCAATGAAAATAATTTTATGGCTGGGGCTCACCACACCATGAGGAACTACGTTCAAGGGTCGAAGCATCAGGAAGGGTTGAGAACCACTGCTGTAACACACATCCAAGTTCTACTTACTTCTCCCAAGTCCAAAAGAAAGGGTGGCCAAGCAGGTCCTTCAGACAGTTCTTCACATTTTCTCCAGGAGAAAACAGGCAGTGAATGAGGTCTTTAGTTTCCTCATCTGGAGATATTGTAAGCAACTCTTCATTACTATGAGCCTTTAGTGTCTCAAAGGGGATCTCGCCTTTCTTTACCACATAGAGAACCAGCCGTCCAAGGTCCTGCATAGAAGCCATGAGTCGAGCCAAAATGTCAATGTGCTACCTCTCTATTTGGGTAACCTTGGAAGATGTGAGAGTTAATATCTCAATTGTCAACTTCATTGGGCAGAGATCTGCTGTATCAAGCCCACACTTCCAGCCTGAGATGAAACCTCTGAGTCCATAATCTAAACAAACCCTTCCTCATTTAGCTTCTTCTCAGTGTGACGAAAAAGTAGTCAGTACAGGCAGTGTGGAAGTGGAAGACGGGATATTTCAAGGAACCTGTGGGCTGTATTCCTGTAGTCCCTGGTGTCATAGTTAACACCCTGAACTCCAAATCTGTAAGATTCTGGGGGAGAAAGGCCAAGCTCTGTGCAAGTCAAGGCAGCATGTGGCCCACACAGCTTAGGCTTCCTGAAAGATAATCCTGGTCCACAGTCGATGGTCTAGACTTGTTGGCAGCAGAAGATTCTACCTGGGTCTTGAATGTTCTGATAGAATACAGACAAGTCAAGAAAGAGAGGCTGCTTTAAACAAAGGGGACAGCCTTGGGACAAGCTAGGAACTGGATCCTGGACTATGTGAGGTGGCAGATAATGGAGTCATTCCCAGTCAGGTGGAATGCGGCGCTAGCCAAGGGAACTAGGCTTCATTAGGGCAGAGAAATACGCAGTGATCAGCACAAGAGACAGCTACACTAGATACCAAGGGGGAAGAACTAGATACCAAGTTAGAAGCCACCAAACCCAGAACCAAAGCTATTACCCATTGGTTACTATCCAGGATAGAGCTGCCCAGCTGTTCCTGACCAAGCCTGGAAGCTTCCATACACCGGACCTAGCTGGAGCACTTTATGGTTACGGTCTTTACACTTCTGCTGAGCTCTGTCTCCTTCAGGCCTGAAAGCTGACCTCATCTCTCCCAGGAACTGTCTGGAGCCTCGGCCTCTGGATTTTCTTTGGTGCTCAGTGGGTAAGTTTAAATAGAGTTGGGAGGAAATCTCGTTTGCTTTATCCTTGGGTAGAGAACTGTTTGCAGAAGGAACTTTTGAGGTGTTCAGCTATGCCTCCTGGAAGTCTTGGAAGAGGCAACCTCTGTTTAGTTACTTATCTAGCTAGTGGAGGGAGAAGGGAAAAGTAAGAGATAAAGAAAGGAGCCACAGAGAAAGGGGACTCCACACCAGCCCAGTTATTATACCTACTCCTCTGCCCCTTGAAAGTTCTCCCATAGGAGAGACACATGGAAATGCCACTGTATGCAAGGGAGAGAGGACAGCAGACAAGGTGGAGGAAGCCTTGGCAAGCATTTTCTTCCAGGTTAAAATAAGTTCTCTATCTGACCATGGGAAGTGAGGTAATGAACAAACAAGGAAGCAGAGAAATGAAAAGAGCACAGACATTACCTCCAAGTCTCTCTTGACTATTGGTGACTGTTCCATCCACTGGATGCTCTGATCAAAATCTGCCAGCCGAACAGCTTTCTCAGAATCTAAGGGACAGTTTCAGAGGTGCATTAAAAAAAAAAGGAGTGATTGTCAAATCACTTAAGTAAAAATATGTAGCATGTTATACAGTCTATCCTCTCTGAAGAGCAATAATGATGTTATTTGCTCATATCCAGCCTCATTTGATATTTTAGGCATCTGTCAAGAGCAGGATACACATTTTGTTTTTTATAGGACAGACAGTAAGAAAAGATGAGGGTGACTTAACCAGCTCTCTACTCCCACAGCTCCTGGGGCACTAAAGGGGCTGGTGGCCATAGTTCAGGTTATATTCTATGGCTAACCAACAGCCAAACAACAAAGTCCTGAGTTTAAGGATGTCTTGGCCTCGGCTTCCATTCAGTTAAGCCTACAAGCCCCAAGCTATTCTGATAAGTTAGGCCACAATCATGAATCAGAGATGTGGTGGTTCTGAGCCTCTCTTCAACCCCCTTCAGGACCTTCTTGCTTCCTAAAGAAGCTACTGAGTCCCCAGAAAGAGGAATGAGGGAAGGATAGAAGTTGGGAATAAGAGCTAAAGGTGTGTTGAAGTCAGGAATTTAGCCTACAAGAGGTGACCTCTGCTAATCTCCATGGCTACCAGAAATAAATCTGCACTCATTACAAATCTCTTAGTGTGATGTTCTATCACAGCCACACATACAAGTCACAGGGGCTCACCTATTAAGATGTTCTGTGGTTGGAGGTCCTCATGGGAGTATCCATGCAAGTGTAGTTTTTGAACACCCTCAAATATAGATAATAGGACGCTGTGGGCAAACTTATCTTCCCCGTTCTCCACAGGTTCCTCTCTGGGCGCTTTCAGGAACTCTTCCAATGTCCACTCACAAAGGGACACACACACATATAAGGAACCCTTGTAGTTCTCGCTTCCATAGAAAGCCACTAAGTTACTGTGGTCACGGCAGTCCCGTAGACAAGAGACTTCCTTACATCCACGTGTGCTATTCTCACAGAAGACCTTCACAGCCACCTCTTGATTGTCATAGATCCCTAGGTAGACGGCCCCTTCGGAAGTGTCAGCAATTTTATAGTCTTTATGAATGAAGATCTCGAGCTTGCCAATCCTGGGTCGAGTCATCTTGTGAAGATTTTTCAAGGCTTTCCCCCAACGTGAACTGTGAGGTAACCAGTCTCCAGCAGGAGAGTCGGTGTCATGATGAGCTTCATAAAGAAGCTTTAGAAGGCAATGGTCGTAATTCTTCCTGGCTATCCCAATAAGATCGCCACACTTGGTATCAGCTCCCTTTTCAAGAAGTAACTGGGCTATCTCCTTCAGTTGTTCTTCAACAGCAATTAGCAGAGCTGTCTTGCCCGTGCTATCTCTGTCATCGATGTTTATGCCCTCCTGACGCAGGAGCATCTGCACCAAACCCGTGTGCTTCCTCTCCACGGCTGAGATCAGGGGTGTCTTCCCTCCATCGCCTCTCACGTTAACATCAGCCCCATGTTCAATCAGAACTGAAGTAATTTCCTCCACATGTTTACTTACATTTTCACAGTTGAAGTTCAGCAGAGCATGGATCAAGGCATTTCTGCCCATGTTGTCCCGAGCATCGGCTTCCGCCTTCATGTCTCTGAGGAGAATTCTCAGGACTTCCAGGTGCCCCTTCTCCGCAGCGCTCATGAGAGCTGTGGCGCCTCCTTTCTTCATTCGCCTCTTGTCCTCCGTTGTCTCCCGTCTCAAATTCACATTGGCTCCGTTAGCAAAAAGGAATCTTAAGGCTTCAACATTACCACGCTCAGCAGCTTCCATGAAAGCCGTGAATCCATTCTCGTCACACTCATTGACATCCGCACCTCGAGAGAGGAGAATCTGGAGCAGGCGCACATCTCCATGGATTCCAGCAATGATGAAGGGGGTGGCCCCATTCTTCTTCCTCCGATGAGGATCAGCACCATGACGAAGCAGGAGATTCACAATGTCTACACTGCCGATCTGCACTGCGTTGTGCAAAGGTGTCCAGCCCCAAGACTTGTCACAGACATTGACATCAGCCCCTTGGTCTAACAATTGCTGGACCCTGACAACATCTCCCTTGTTAACAGCTTCGAGTAACAAAAGGTCATCTTTGCGGACGGTCCTCTGACCACCTGCTGATGCGGATCCATCCTGAGGTGTGTTATGATTCGTGGGCTCCATGGTAGTCAATGTCTTGGGAAATGAACACGTGTGTTTCTCTGGGACTCAAGGAGAGTCTTGGGGTAGGAATTGGGCTGATATGTTCTGTCTTCTGACATCTGTGCACGAATAAAGAGGGGCGCTTTGTCATTTCAGACAGGAGAAAAAAAATCACCTGGCTCTGGAGACTTTCTAAACACATTTCCTGGCTTAATTAATAATTTCTTAGATGTATAAAATGTACAGAATGAAGATTATGAATAGAGGTAAATTTAAAATGAGGAAATTATTGCTCCATGGACCCACACCCCCAAAGCCACTGTTTTATGTTTAGTGTATGTGTAATACGTGTATCCCAACACGATCCCACACTTGATATCAGCTCCCTCTTCACACAGCAACGGGCCGATTTCCTTCAGTTTGAGTTGGACAGCAGTAGCAGAGCTGGCTTGCCCTTGCTATCTCTGAGGTCCTTGTTTATACCGTGTTATATTTAGTACACGTGTACAGATTTCTCTCCAGGCTGGGCTCAGGCTAAGTGAGACGCTTACGTGCTTATTTCAATGTTCTAATCTTAAATATTTTAATGTTTGAAATGATATTTTAAGAATTAAAACAGTTCTGAATGATGTTGTGGGAAATTTAGCTCATCTTTATCTAGTTTTCCCATTACAGGTTTCTTATGATAGATGTCCTAAAATTTGATGACTAGTCATGAAAACTAACTCCTTTTTTTCTCCAATATTCTATAAACGTACTTACCTAGTAATTGGCAGCTTCCGGGGGTAGTGGGGCATGCATGCAAGCTCCTTTAAGAAGAAGAGTGGAATTCTTTGTCTTGCCCATCTGACGTTCCTTATCCCAGGTGTGGCTGGTCACCCCACACTCAGTGCTCTTTCTCTTCGTTCTCTCCGTACCCCTGCCTGTTTTTGTTGAAGTAGTGCGGTTGAAAAATGTGAAGTATGAACTTAGCTTTGAGTTTCTGGGTATGCAACTTTTGACTGTCCCTTCCTGCTTGCACGTTCTTAAACGGCTGACTCACGATTTTGTTTCCTCCACATGGGACAACAGTAAACAGGGCCATTGCAGACAGTGTCTTAGGGAGTGGAGCAAATACTCCCCGAATACCCACTCACCCACGTACCCTACAGGGAGTGTCATTTAGCCCAGGGGTCTCACGCAGCTCCAGACTTACTGGTTCACTCATCAGGCATCCCTTGTTAACCTGAACATCTAATTAGCTGTATCTGCTACAAAATGTACAAAACTCCCCTTCTTTGAGATCTACATCTGCAGTATATTCTGAATATCAAGCACCGAAGTTGTTGCCCAAAGCATTTGCGTAGTGGGCCCTAACTGCCTCTGACTGTGAGGTGGGTTGGTGTAAAGTAAGAAGCAGAGGAGGAAAGAAAATCAGGGGATGTCGGGAGGGAAAAGCCCAGTCCAGAAAGGAGCCCTGCAGCAAGAGTCTGAGGTTCACTTTCATTTTCTCCTTCCTGGTTCCAGAGCTGCCCCAGAAGCAGAGGACGTAAATAAACAGCGTATCAACTCTGTCAGCACCTTAGGAGTTGGAGCTCGGGAGCACAGGGCTGTGGCCCAGTTGCCATCAGTCCCAGCTCCCCAGTCCTCCAGACTTCTTCATCCCCGCCCCCACCCCTTCCCCACTCCGTCCCAAGAGATTAGTCAATAAACGACTCCTCTGCCAGCTCTCCTTCAGCCTACCTTACCCTCGTCTTCTCTTCAGGCATTCCTTTGGAAGCAACAATCCCTTAAGACCAGCCCCTAGAGGAAGCATTTCCTTGAGGGCGTTGCTGAGCCAGCAGGGAGGAGCCAAGAAAGGAGTGAGAAAGCGGAAGAATAGAAGGCATGAGTACAGGGTCAGTCCAGGCACAGCCTGAGCAACCTTCACCCCCTGAAGGAAGACAAGGGCTGTCCCCTGACCTCGGAGGGCAGATTTGATAGGCATCACTGCACTTTTCAGGTTATAAGAACCAACTTTACCCATCACTCTGTGTCTTCTCTGTTATCTCAAGTCCTTTTTGTTCTTGGAGGGAAACAAGGAAATGAGCACTATGTAGTCATCTTGTCTTAGTTAGGGTTTTACTGCTGTGAAGAGACACCATGACCAAGGCAAGTCTTATAAGGAGAACATTTAATTAGGACTGGCTTACGGATTCAGAGACTTAGTCCATTATCAAGGTGGGAGCATGGCAGCATCCAGGCAGGCATGGTGCAGGAGAAACTGAGAGTTCTATGTCTTCATAGACCCAGGGAAGCAAATCTTGTGATAGCTACTATTTTTCACCCCACTTTACAGCTAGGGAAACCAGGGAATAGAGTGAGTAATCGGCTTACTGTGCTTTGGAAACTGGGCTACATCACATTGAAGGACACGCCTACTTTTGTTCTCATTGAAGCCATCCAGGAAACAAAACCAGCTCCATCATGTACTGTGTCTTATGATGAAAACCCAACAGGGAAGAGTAGACATGAGGAGTGGGAGGGTTAGAGTACTGGAACGGGAGTCCCAGCGACATCGGCAGTCAGTAAAGTGTTTGCCCTGTGAGCACAGGGCCTGATTTCAATCAACACTAAAAAAGGAAGGAGACTCAGAGGCACGATCCCCAGAACTAGGTGATAAAGGGTAGGTCATGGTGGTGAGTTATGATCCCATTGCTGGGGGAGTCAGAGACAGACACATCCTTTCAACCAGTCAGCATGGCCTACTTGGTAGGTTCTAAGCCAATGAGAGGTGGCCAGTGCCTAAAGAATGCCACTTGAGCCTATCCACTGACCTACACACACACACACACACACACACACACACACACACACTTAAATATGGAGACTTTGCATAGGATGACAGGTTGGGTAGTCTTTGTTCAGAAGATGGCATTTGAGCAAAGTCTGAGGGAAGGCTCGGAAGCACACTGCACAGATGTCCCAGTAGGGGCTGTGGGTACAAAGGGACTGAGGCCAAAAAGGTCCTGGCATAATCAAGGAACAGCTTACAGACCAGTGAGGAAGAGGGATGGGAAGTGGGGGTGCAAGTCATGTTGGACTTTAGGGACCCTTGTAAGGACTTTGGATTCCGTTCTGAGCAAGATGGCCGCCAAAATTGGGAAGTGGGAAGATGTTAAACTCTGTTTGGTCTTTGGGTGCCTCGGTCCTCAAGTAATAAACCACAACCAAAGTTAACTCTTAACTACGGAAAGCTTTTGAGCGTGCTCTTGTAACAGAGAGCTGAGTCTCAGCCAACAACTGCAGCCAAGCTTCAGCCGGCTTCAGGTGGCTGACCACCAAGCTATAAGCAAGCACACGACACTATGCCTCATTTCAGTGTATGTGTTATAGACGCCGGTCCCAGTTCCCTCTGTCGCCGATTAAAAGCAAGTTGGAGAGAAAGGGCTTATTTGGCTTGCAAGTTATATACTCCAGCGTCAAGGGATGCCAGAGCAGAAATCAAGCCAGGAACTGAAGCAGAGACCATGGAGGATGCTGTTAATTGACTTTCCCCATGGCCTGTTCAGCCTGTTTTCTTTCTATAACATAGGACCATCTGCTCAGAGGTGACCCACATTGATCATTAATCAAGAAAACACCCCCCCCCACACACACACACACACACGAACATGCTAACAGGCTGAGCTGATGAGAGAACTCCCCAGTTAAGGTTCCCTCTTCCAGGTGACTTCCAGTTTGCATCTAGTTGACAAAAACTAACCAGCTGTCTGACCACGGCTCTGAGCTGGCACTCTCAAACTGTTCTGGTTTTGACTTCCACCGGAGCCACAAATCACTTATGATTCCGCTGAGGCTTGCTGAATGGAGTGCCGAAAATGTTTCCTTTAACGCAGACTGTTAGAATTAGGTAGCCAGTGTCAGCCCAGAGCAGGTGATGTTAGTTTGTCCTGAGCAGACGAAATGATAAAGATTCCTAGAGAACACTGGCTCTTGTGGGGAAGCCCAGGAAGCTTGCCTGTCAAAAAACAGTGTAAGAAGTTCTTCCTACAAATAGGAAGATCTCCGCCTAGAAACCACTGAGTAGCTTTGAGAAAATCCTAGCCTCAATTACATACATCATCCTGACAGGCTTGGGTTGTTCTGATCTGAGGTACACAGAAACAAACCTCTGTGGGCAACTGGATGCAATTTGGAAGCAAGAGAAATGGCCTCTTTCACTATTGTTTTCTAGGAACCAGACAGAACAAAGGGGAGCAAGGCTGTCCCAGAAAGCAGCAGTCACTCAGGTTAGCCAGCAGAGGGCGACGTTCAGCTATTTTTGGTCGTCATTCAGTCTTGTTTGTGTCTTGTTCCCCTGCGGTCATGGGATAGCTATTCCAATTGCTGCTGACATCTATGGGGCTGTTTGTGTCTGGGAGAACTAATTCATAGAGCCGCTGAGCGGAGAGCTGCCAGGGCCGTTTTGCTCACCTGTATGTGTGTTCTTTCATATTTAGAGTTGAGCCACACTTGATATGTTGGAGAGTTCAGCTTACAAAAGAAGCCAATTAGTCTGAATGGGCCATTTTGAAAAGCTAAATATCATTTCCCACATCCTGGAACCTTCTCTCCAGAGAAGAGCTTTAAACAACCCAGACCAGACCCTGGGGTAGTTGCAGATCTAACCGATTTGTAACATGTAAGGCTGAAGCACTGGTTTGTTACTTTCTATTTATTTTTTTATGATTCCCAAACCCCAATTCTAAAAATGATTTGAGGCCACTTATAATAGAAAATGTGCATATAATAAAATCCTAAATTATGAACACAAGAATAAGACCCAGCGAATAACAGAGGAAGGCAACCATCAGATTCCACTAGAAAACTCAACTCAGGATCAAGGCCAGGGCAGGAAGTACAAGTCCCCCTTGTGAGGAAAACCCAGGGATTCTTTAACTGTCATATCACATGAGCCTGGGATGTTAGAACTGCCAATTCTTTATCTGACCAAAAAGAACATCAGACTGCGGGGCTTGACTTAGAGCTCACTTCCAAGCATGCACGTAGCTTACCAAAAACCTCTGAGATCTCGGATAGAAGCCAATGCGGTAATGTTGAATCAGTAGAAGGCTGACCTTCTCCTATCTGCACTGTGCGGATGGTCCAGGCTGGCTTGCTATGCACCAGCAGCTGACTGGTACCTCTTTACATCTGCGTGATTCACTTAAACTCTCTGGCGTCTATGTCTTTAATGTGATAGGATTCTTACAAGGATTCCAGGAGTTAACATATGTGAAGTATTCAGGGCAGAGTCTGCCACAGACAAGTATTTGCTGTTCTTGAACATGTCACCGAGCCATCTGACACACACTTTTCACACATTTTCTGTCATCACAAAAGCTCTCCGAAGCCAATACTATTTATTTATAGTCACATTTTATAATACAAAGCGAGAGTCTAGAAATTGAGAAATATACTGATAAGCAAACCGCAGACATGAGATTAACGTCAGTTTCGAAGCTCTAAACATTGCCCTGTGCTTTCTGTGAGCTGTCCTGTGGATGGCTAAAAGGAGAACTCTCCCTTAAATGGGAGCTTAATGTAAAAAAATAAAAAAGAAATCTACACATTCTTGCTTTACTCAAAGTCTAAGTCAGTGTCTGAGCTCGTGACTGTGTCGGTTAGTCTCAGCTGTCACCTGATTGGGTAGGATATTAGCAAAGATAAAAGCCTCTGAATGGGTTTCTGAGAGTATTTCCTGGGAGGTTTAACCGAAAGGTGAAGCCCCTCCCCTTGAATGTGCAACATCTTCCAGCTGCTGTCAAGATGTGAGGAGGAAAGGCTACAAGCTTTGTCTGCCTGGCTTTGCTCTCTGCAGGTGAGTGCATCTACCCTGTAATATAGCACCCTTGCATCTCTCACCCTTAGGATCAACTACTTAGGATCAGATATTTAACTTCAAGCCTCTCTTTCTTCTCCTGGACCAATTTCAAGCATTCCACCCACCTTGAATTTACACCTCATAGACCCTGGACCCCTGAACAGTCTCTTTACCTAAGACCTTCCAGATTGGAAGGTAAGTTTTAGCTCTAAAAGAATTAAAGAAATCTTCCCTTAACTCCTATACACGTGGACTGTGTTAGGAATTGTGTTAATAATTCCAATTTCTTCAAAATTTTGTATATTCACCAAAATGAATTAATAAACCAAACAAATTCTAGCCATTATATAGAATTCCACAGGGAAAAGCAAAGCTTTAGAAATCAATGCAAGTTCCGGCTGGAGAAGGCAGCTCTGCTATTGAGAATTCATCTGTTCTAGAGGACCCAAGTTTGGTTCCCAGAACCCACACTGAGCGGCTCACATCCACCTTTCAACCCAGCTTCAGGCGCCTGCATCCATGGCCACAAAGCAACAAACCCGTACACATAATTAAACATAGATTAATATACTATAGAAGTTGGACAAACCTAAGACAATACATAGTTATGACCACAGGAGGGCAGCAGAGTGTAAGGGATCGGCTGGCCGCCCTCGTAAACATTGTTCTGGCCTAGGTTTGGGTGATGGCTGTCATGTTCTCCTTGACAAATTGGCTTAACTGATGCCCATCTCCCACCTCCATCTTACATTTTCATCTGGGGTTCTGGACTGCTCCAAGCTTCAGATAAAATATATAGAAAACTGGGGACAAGAACATGAGTAACTCGGGAGTCTTTAGTCTGGCAAAAGGAGGTGACGATCCTTGATGCATTAAGGAGTCACTGTGTTTTTATGTGTGCAAACATCTACAGCAGTGGAAAAATAGGGACACAGGGCCTCATGGCCAGCAAGCTAGATCAGCAGGTAAAGATACTTGCTGCTAAGGTTGAC